TTGATGTTGCTGTAGTTGATGTTGTTGATGTTGCTGTAGTTGATGTTATTGTAGTTGATGTTGCTGTAGTTGATGTTGTTGCAGTTGATGTTGTTGCAGTTGATGTTGCTGTAGTTGATGTTGTTGATGTTGCTGTAGTTGATGTTATTGTAGTTGATGTTGCTGTAGTTGATGTTGTTGATGTTGCTGTAGTTGATGTTGCTGTAGTTGATGTTGCTGTAGTTGATGTTGTTGTAGTTGTAGTTGATGTTGCTGTAGTTGATGTTGTTGTAGTTGATTGTGCTGTAGTTGATGTTGCTGTAGTTGATGTTGTTGTAGTTGTAGTTGATGTTGCTGTAGTTGATGTTGTTGTAGTTGATTGTGCTGTAGTTGATGTTGCTGTAGTTGATGTTGTTGTAGTTGTAGTTGATGTTGCTGTAGTTGATGTTGTCCTTACCATTGTTACCATCTCCTCCTGACCAGGTGTTTGGAGCCTACCTCAGCGACAAGATCAAGACGTCCGAAACGTTTTACGGACAAGGCTCAACCTTCCTGTTCACGTTTTACCCAGAGTTCAAGGTAAGAGGGTGTTGTTTTTGGAGCAGTTCTTCAAGTGTTGTTCTGTCCCCGACGTTTTATGCAAGAAAAATTCAGAAATTATGCAAACTGAGCCCAAAAATGCAAAATTATGCGATTCTGTTAAATTTTAACAAAGAATGATAAAGGAAAATAATTAGAAATTATGCGAAAAAAGATCAAATTTTGCTAAATTATGGGGGGCGCATAAAACCACGGGGACAGGATGTTGTGTATGCATTGTCGAATTTTATGAGATGGATGTGGGTGGTTGGTAGGTGCTCTGGTGTGCTTTGCTCCTTCTTTCCTATCGTACGTCTATCGTCCTTATCTCTCCTTCTCCTTTTTTGTGTTTGTTACTCTCTTGTAACACCTCTAATCTTCGGCACTTATATGACCTTATTGTGTTTCAAGTGCCGTAAAACACTTACTAAAACTAAAAATGAGATGGATGTACTAACTATCTTTGCTGCTCGTTCTCTTGATAGTTTACCACAATGTTTCTGTTCTACTTGACAGTCTTCTGCTCCTGGGTGGTTGGCGGGTGCTCTGGTGTGGTTTGCTTCTTCTTTCCTATCAAACATCTGTCTTCTTTGTCTCCCCTCCCTTATGCAGTTGCGAGCTCCGTAAAAGCTCTACTAAAACTAAACTAACTATCTCCCCTCCTTCCTTTTTGTGTTTGTTACTCTCTTGTAACACCTCTAATCTTCGGCTGGCACTTATATGACCTTATTGTGTTTGCAAGTGCCGTAAAACTTTGACGAAAACTAAAGTCTACTGCTCTGGTTTTGTTCTACTTGACGGTCTACCTCCACAGCAACAATGCTGTTAGAATTTTGTGTCAACCACCAGACCAGCCTGACTACACAGTTCCACTTGATTCTGTACTAGCATACTACGATATACAACGCTAAATGTGAAACATGCTGACAAAATGAGTTACTTCTCGGATTCAAGCCTTTTGGAAATACATCACGCTTATAGGAGAGGTTTTTATAATTTAAAAGTAAGCAATAATAAAAGGCATGTTATCGTTCAAGAATATGGCATCAATAGAAAAACTACAAATTTGACCCTAGTGTCGATGTTTGGCCAATATCTCCATTTGAGGATTGCGAGAAGTAAGTCATTTTGTCGGCACGCCTCACAAATATTTTCCCTCTGTGTTTATACAGGCTTGGGAGTGCCATTGGCCATGTTAAAAAAAGTTTGAGTGGTTGTAGTCTGTCTATCATCTCACTATTCCGTATTTCTTCACCATCTTCACCATTCACTATCCCTTTTCTCCTTTTCTCTGGCTTTGAAGTTACCCTGTTGCTTATGTTGTCAAAAATGCGGGTGGTTGTTGGGTGCTCTGGTGTGGTTTGCTCCTTCCTTCCTTTCAACACATATCGACCTGATCTCTCCTCTTACTTTCCTATCAAACTATCTATCTTCCCAATCTCTCCTTCTCCTTTTTTGTGTTGGTTACTCTCTTGTAACATCTCTAATCTTCGGCACTTATATGACCTTATTGTGTTGCAAGTGCTGTAGAACTCGAACTAAAACTAAAACTATAACATTGTCAATGTGTTCCTTTTTTTAAATCCTGTTCTCAGAAGTACATGTGGCAGGGAGACAACCAGTTTTTCATCAACGGCACCTCCGACTTCTTCGCTATTGGATCAGGACAGTGAGTGACCTCCCTTTGTTGTTTATAAACTCTCACAGAGCTGCTGAATTTCCAGATAAGTCCAGATATCTGGATTTCTGAAATTGTTTTGATTTTGTGTTATATTCCTGCTTATGCGGGAGGCAGCGTGGTGGAATCAGGCTCTCGTCAATTTTTGGGCATGTAGAGTTATTGGTATAATCTCAAAGCTTGTTCACTTGTTTTTATTTGGATGAAAAAAATATCCATTCATCGTGAATACAAGTCGAGATATTTGCCAATGAAGGAGGTGGGAGTCACCTGTTTTCAGAGGTAAAATTAGGGAGAAAAGAGCCGCCAAAGATTAGTCAATTCCTTAGCTTAAGAGTCCATGGCAACTAAAAGTTTACCTTTATTGTACCTTTAATCAGCGTTTTTCAGAAAAATCCACACCGAAATGAGTTCTTTAACGGGCTTTAAAGGTGTTGAGCCAAAAAACAAACCTTTGATAAAAATTCACAAACCTGCAAAAAATACAAGTTTCTTCCCTTTGATTATTTTGACGAGAGCCTGATTCCACCACGCTGCCTCACATATATATATTTTTATCTCTTTTTGTATCTCATCAAGCTGCATTTTTCATGAAGGCGAATGGAGTAGACAATGTAATCGTTAAATTTTGAGTCCCCCGCATGCTGTTACTCGCAGGACACTCGAGTTTGATTCCTGAGAAGGGAACGAAATTTTATGGAGTATATATCTCAGTCTTTCTGCAGGGATTTCTTGTTCCTCTCAGTCCAGGTTTGCCCTGACAGGCAGGGTCAGAAGCCAGCCTCTTGAGTGATCTAAATTGCTTCGATAGGTGCTTAAAAAACACTTTAATAAGAAAAAAGATCTTATCTTAAGCACTTATATGACTTAAATGTGTTGCAAGCAAGTGCCATAAAACCCTTACGAATTACTAAAATTTAAAAAATAAAAAAAAACATCCACATACACACACAATAAATTATATGTCGCCTTTAACCCGTTCCCCCGTTGTGTGTCCCAGGGGTCTGTTCGGTCTGTGGGTGGACGACAACCTGAACCACGGCCGCTCCCACTGCTGTCTCACCTTCCACAACGACGTGCTCACCACGCAGGAAGACTTCCGCATCATCGACGTCGAGGCCTGGCAGTTTGTCGAGTAAGTCTGTTTGTTTGTTTGTTTCTTTCTTTCTTTCAGTAAGCGTTTTACAGCGCTTGCAGCTGCGTAAGGTCATATGATGAGCGTGAGGGACACATTATGCATTTTCAGTTTGATAGAAATTACCTTTGAATTTTACCCAAGGGATCTTTAACGTGTACAACTTGCATATGGCTCCTCCAAGATTTTGTCCACCCTTATCCATGAAGGCTAGGTGTTAGACATCAGTAAGAAGAAGCCAAGGAGTAACAGTAGAAACGCTGCCGAAAAAGTTCAGGAGCCCAGAGGAGGAGGCAAAAGGGGGGAGGGAGGGGGCAGAGAGAGGAGACAAATCAGACGACCAATCATTGTTAGAGAGTAGGAAAGAATGTGAAAGGAGAACATTTTAGAGAAGAAAATTTTTCGTCACTGTCAGGTTTTGAACGTGGGACTTATTGAGTGAGAGGCGAACAGCGTATCTCTAGACTCTAGACTAGCAGAGCCCCCTGAGTAAGTGTATGTGTGGTTTGCGTTGGAAACAGGACAGTTGGTGGAGTAAGTGTGTGTGTGTGGTGTGGATTCGAAACAAGACAGTTCATGTATGTGTGGTCTTGGCTTGGGTTCCAGACTTAGCTGTTTGTGGGTGGAGTGTGTATGTATTTGTCCTGTGGGTTCCCTGGCAAACAAACATCTATCGCCAACCGGTAGATAAATGTCTGTTTCTTCGATTTCATTATTTTGATGACGCGATAATGATCTAACCGCAATGACACATAAGATAAAACAATGGGAAGAGGTAGACCAACTGGCAGTTATAGTAACACGATACGGGACGAGGCGATCACCCAGGGCCTTGATTCTAGATGTGCTGAGGTTAGAGAAAGTGGCCAGGGACAGACTAACGTGCT